AGGATATGGCTGGGCAGGTTGGCGGATGTGTGGCACACAAGCCTGTCCTTCCAGACTGGGTATGGAACCTGCCAACTAACTTCCTCACCTCCTCTTCTCTGCAGCTGGAGTTCCCAGACAAGCCTCAGGAGTGCTGGCTCTGCTACTGCAGCCAACAAAACTAGAATAGTACTAGGAAACAGAAGGGGCTCTAAGTAGATGCTAGTGATTAGTAACTGAGCCCTTCTGATCTGCCAGGCACTGCTCTAAGCACTTTGCAGATGTTACTCTTTGGATCTTCTGAACAATACTATGAAGGAGTTATTCTTCTCATCTCCATCTTTATGAGGAGGAAACGAGGCAAAGAGAGAAAGCCACTGAGCCAAAGCTGCACTGCCAGCAAGTGGTAGAGCAGGATCTGATCCCAGACCTCCAATTTCTGGTCTCACCCTCTTAACCCTTATTCTTTCTGGCTTTAGACAAATCTAGCACTGAAAGTCCTAAGAACAAGGAATTTTTCCTGGCTGACTGCAGGCCCAGAAAGGCCCCTCTTATGTAGGTGTTTGGACTAATAGCAGGGAAGCAACTATTTCCTGCTGGGCCAGGATCACAATCTGGGGATCCCAGCAACTTCCAGTGCACTCAGCAAAGGGGAAGGGGCTCTGAGACTCTTCAAAGAAAGCTCTCTCTGAAAGAGGTTAGGAGCACAGACTGACAATATAGTGGGGTCAGCTGAAGGAGTCATACACCCCACAGACTCCTAAATAGTTCTTACAAATGCATTTTTCACGGGCAGGCACCGGTGACTCACGCCTGTAATCCTAGCTACTTGGAAGGCTGAGATCAGGAGGATCACATTTTTAGGCCAGCCTGGGCAAACAGTTTCAAGAAACCCCATCTCCAAAATAACCAGAGCAAAATGAACTAACGGTATGGCTCAAGTTCCAGAGCACCTGCTTTGCAAGCAACAAAACCCCAAGTTCAACCTCAGTTCCACACACACACACACACACACAAAAAAGTACACACACATACATTTTTCTAAGCTGGGCATGGTGGCACATATCTGTAATCCCAGCACTTGGGTGCCGGAGGCAGAAGGATCTTGAGTTCAAGGCCATCCAGGAGTATACAGTGAGACCCTGTCTCAAAACAAACAAAAAAATGTACTCATATTCTTAAGAAATAATGCCAGCCAGATGCCAGTGGTTCACGCCTGCAATCCCAGCTACTCAGGAGGCAAAGATAAAGAGGATCATATTTCAAAGCCTAGTTCACAAAACCCTATCTCAAAAATACCCAGGTGGAGTGGCTCAAGAGGTAGAGCACCTGCCTAGCAAGCATGAGGCCCTGAGTTCAAACCCCAGTACCACCAAAAAAAAAGAAAAGAAATAATGCCTCTTTGGGTATTACAATGTCTTCATTAAGTCAGCCAAACGGACTGTAATAACCTGAGAAGTCTGCACTGCTCCTTTGAAATGACCTACATCATCTGAAACACCACTCAGAAAAAAGTGAGCATCTTAATGATGCAAGGTAAACTTCATTTTTTGATACAGAATATAAATATTACGTCTATCTTTCCTCTCTACTGGACACATTCCTAGTACTTTTTTATTTTTACTACAACACAGACTGGCCACATGGAGAGGAAATGTTCCTTCCTAACTCCTATTAAATGTCAAGAGTTTTCCCCAGAAAAGGTGGGAGCTGGGGCAGCCCTAATGTTTTACTGTGGCTCTTGTGTTTGTGTAAATGTTTCACTGGGTTACTTTGGGTGCATATAAGAAAATGCGAGCAAACCACATGTGAGGCGCACACACAATGAGCCCAGTGACCCCTCGGCCCCGCCAGGCCTGGAACACTATCACAAGATCCAAGCAGATCTCCTTCCCTCCTCACCGCCTCCACTCCTCCACTCCTGGGCAAACAGTCTAGGCTCTGGGTTTCCAGCCCTTTATTTTATATATATTTTGTTTGTTTGTTTTGTTTTGTTTTTTGAGACAGGATCCCACTATTGTTGCCCAGGTTGGGCTCAAACTCATGAGCTAAAGCAATCCTCTTGCCTCAGCCTCCCAAGTAGCTGGGACAACAGGCACATGCCTGGCTAGTCTCTTGTTTTATTAAAAAAGGAAGTAATTGTAGCATGCACACTATAAACCTAAATGATGCCTGGTCTTCCACACTCACTTGTGTGCAATGTTTCTGAGAGTCAGCCCAGTCGCCGGCTTCCATGTGATTCTGTTACCATTTAACAGTGCACCTCCCCCACGCCCATGGATGACACCTGGGTTACTTTCAGATTTCTGTCACCATAGCGATGTAGTGTGCATATGTGTCCCTTGGGACACCTAAGCCAAGCTTTTCTAGGAGAATGTTCCCAGGAGAACAGCCCATTCCTGAGGTACACAAATCCTCCCTGCACCAAATTTTAAAAATATTTTTGCCATCCTGTTTTATGATATCATTTTGTTGTCACAAAGATTTATTAATAATTGTTTAGTTGATCCTAGATTTGACAAGTACTTTCTTCACATCACTGTGTATAAAGAAGGCAATGCCAGCAGATGCAGGAAATTTAGGGACACACAAGATGCAGCTTCCAGTCTGGGACACACAACTGGTTGCGCTCCAAGCAGGACATGAGACCAGCTGGGGAAAGGATGGTACCATCAAGTGCACCTGCGGCAATGCCATGGAAGAATAAGGAGCCCTCAGGGAGAGCCATGAAGCCAGCAGACTGGCCAAAACCAGACAGGCACCCCAGGAAACAAGTGGAAGCTGCAGCACCAGGGTTTCAGCAGGCATGTTAACAAACATGGACTTGCCAAGTCCGGTTATTCACCTTCCAGATTTTTGCCAGCTCCTCCAAACAATAACACTTGCTAACTATGGCAGAGCACTTACTGTGGGGCAGGAACTCAGAAATGAGCTCAGTTTGGAAGCCTTACTATAGGCCACACTATTACTGGCTTCATGTTTTTCTTTAAATCAATTTGTCTTTAAATTCAACTACCCACTTTGAGTAACAACATATATGAAATCAAGTATCCTTGTTATCTATTGGGGGGTATCTTTTTATTTTGTTTTTATTGAGCTGTAACTCACACAACATAAAATTCACCCCTTTAGAGAGCACAATTCAGTGTTTTGTCTTTTTTTTTAAGATTCATAATGTTGTATAACCATCACTACTATCTAATTCCAGAGCATTTTCATCCTTCCCAAGAGAAACCCTGTATCCATTAACAGTTGCTCCCAATGCCCCTCCCTGAGTCCCTGGCAACGGAAGTCTACTTTTTATCATGACGGATTTGCCTGTTCTGGATATTTAGTGTATGTAAATGGAATCAGACAAAACGTGTCTAGCTTCTTTCACTCAGCATCATGTTTTAAAGGTTCATCCCTGTCGGGTTATATACCATTACTCCAGTCCCTTTTATGATTGAATAATTTTCTATTGCATGGATGTATCACATTTTTGCATTGTTTCCTTTTTTTTTTTTTTTTTGGCTGTTACAAACAACACTGATATGAACATTTGTGCACAAGTTTCTGTGTGGACGTTTTCAACACTCCTGGGTATATACTGAGGAGTGGAATTGCTGATCCCATGGTAACTACATGCTTAACTCTTTGAGGAATTTGCCAAAGTTCTATGGAATTTTTAAGATAGAGAACTAGTAAAGCTAACATGGAACTGCATACCACTGAAAATTATTTTGGAAAATACTGCTGAAAGTGAAGCTACTGGAACTGGGTTTGGTTTTGTTTTGTTTTGTTTGGGAGCAGGGAACTGACGTAGTCAGAATGGCATTTCTGAAATACTCATCAAGCAGTGGAGAGGCCAGGGCAGGGGGGAAGATGAAGACAGGAAGACACTTAGATGCCACAACAGAACGATGACAAGAGACTGGGCCTGAATCCAGGTTTGGCGGGGGAATGGGAAAGGGCAGGAGACAGCCATGAACACAGAGTGGGAGGAAGAGCCCTGCGGCCTGCAAGTCAGCGTAGGAGGGGCGGAGGCAGCAGTAACAGTGGAAGGGTTTCAGGGAGTTTGACTTCAGGCAGACAGAGCTGGCACTGGTGGCAGGACAGCCAGTGGCAGCTCGCACCTAGTATCAGGTGCAGGAGGAGCACTGGGGTGGCATGTTCATCTAGGAGGAGCAGGGGGAAAGAGACAGGGAGAGGGCTGGATAGAGAGCTGGGGAAATGGGACAATGATGAAGCCAGGAGAACAGGCCACAAATAGGCAGGTAAGGGGATTCATTCAGTGCCAGGGAAGCAGAGGGCAGGGGGCACACTTGTGAGCCTGTATACAGCACTAATGACCACAAGAGCAGTTCAGATGCCCTGTATACATTGCTGGGCATGCCAGTATTAGGACAAAACTGAACTCACTACCCCTACTCTCCACCTGCCCACCCCACATTTCCCATTCCTCCAGGGTCTACCACCTGCTGCCAGGCCAAATGAGGCAAGCCAGAGAAGCCTTGCCACGAAGTGCGCCTGGACATCCGGCACTCCTTCCACCCTTTCTCCTTCCTCCCACGACCTCTGGACTACAGACTCTTGGGGGACAGAGGCCCCGACTGTCTCCTCACTGCTGTATGCCAGGCCTGGCAAGGCGCCTGGCACACATCTGTTGCAGGAATGAATGACTCCACAGCGCACCAAGACCAGCCCCCACCTGCTCGAACTTTCTTCCTCCCTCCCTACTCAGAATTTGCTATTCCTCCACACCCTCACCAAACCTCCAAACATGGCCCCTCGAATGCCCACAATAAATATAAATACATGACTTATCAACACACACACCCCAAAAAGGTGGCACAAGCCTGTGATCCCAGCACTCCGTAGACAGAGGCAAAAGGGTCTTGAGTTTGAGGCCAGTCTGGGCTACACAGGGAGACCCTGTCTCAAATAAATAAATAAATAAATAAATAAATAAATAAAAACATAGCCAATGGATATTGTTATAGCTTTAAACAAGTCAGTAAGTGAAAACACTGCTGCTGTACCCGACAGTTTAGTCACCTCCACGAACCTCAGTGTCCTCAACTCATAAAATGGTAATGGTGGTCGGGGAGCATCAGTGAGATAAAGGACCTGAAAGAGCATAGAAAATGAGGCTAAAGGCTTCTACTTCTGCTACAGGAGTGTCCCTAAGCACTTCTGACTGGCCTCTCTGCTCTGATCTGCTGGTTCCTTGACCACACCCCCTCCGGAAGCAAAGCAAAACAGAGCAAGCTGACATGGAACAGGAGGGAATTTTTTAGTCTATTTCACACTAAATTTAACAAGCATAAACAAACAGAAGTTTGCATACCATGTAATTTTTTTTAATTCTGTAAAGATTAGAAATATACTGCCAAATGTCAAAACATAAAAACCAAAAGGAAATGAAAGTTGTTATTTTCCTTTTGGTTTTATCTCCATTAGCCAAATGTTTTCATTCAAACTGTTTACACGGCCATTGTCCTGCTTTGTTTGGAAAACTAATAATCAAGGGGCATGTTTCCAGCACTAACAACTGGGTGCGTTACACAGTTGCTTCTGTGCCCAGAAAATGCTGCTCTTTAGAAACTTGTGCCGAGAGGCCAACGAATAACTGTTTACTTGCCCTTGGAATGTGTACCAGCCATGTCAGTGCTACCAATGTCCCTCCTCACAATAGCCTTCATCTCATCCTTGTGCCAAAATGGCATAACCAAGCCGTGAGAACAGGGCTGTCCCACAGCATGTCAGTGCTTCCAAGGAAAGCATGAGCCCAAAGCCTCGGAATCCGTGCCTGGTCATACAGGAACTCAGCTGCTGATGGTCAAATGCACCAAGGCGACGGCTGTAATGTACTGAATGCCCATTATGTACCAGCACTGGTCCAAGTGGCCCACAGCACTGATCTTGCTGCAATTCTGCAGGGAAGGCATTTTACAAGTGAAGTCGGGGGAGTCCTTGAGCTGGAACAGACTCTGTGCTCTCTCTACTGAGGCTCGCTGCCTCCAGGAAAAACCCCGAAGGGCCTGATCCTCAATCTCAGTTCAGGGCATCACCACCTCTGGGTTTCTTGCCCTTCCCTGTTCCAATATCACACACCCATCTAGGATGCCCCTTGGAGTATGTGAGATCTCTCCACCAAGGAAGCTTTCCAGGTCAACCCTTGTCACGTCTACTAACAAACATTTCCTCAGTGACCTTATCTATGTGGAACCCCTCCCCTGGGGCCCAGGAAGGCCCTCTCTCTTCCCTCTCTCCTCTCCTCTCCTCTTGTATTAGTTCTATCCAGCACATTTGTGATCCCATTCTCTTCCTGGTCCTACAACAGAACGACATTTTCCCACTTCCTCTGAAGTCAGCTGTTGTACTGAACAGTAAGATGAGACAGAAATGAGATACGTCTTTGTCACACGCTTTAAAAGGCAGGGTGCCTTTCTCCATATCCTCTTTCCTCCACGGAGGTGATGGTGGACACCTGCATCAAGACAGCGCCTCATTTGCCCAGAGATAAGGCATGTCCACACAGACTCATGCACCAAGTGCACAGCCACACTACTCACAAGAGCCAAAGAGTGAACACAACTTTGTCCACCAGCAGATGAGGAGATAAACAAACCTGGTCTGGCCATACAATGGAACTATAATTCATCCCAAAAAGGAAATAAAGTCCTGACACGTGCTACAACACAGATGAACCTTGAAAACATGATGCTCAGTGAAAGAAACCAGATCCAAAAAGCCACATATCATGATTCTACTTCTATGGAATGTTCAGAACATAGGGCCCAAAGTGGATTGATAGGTGCCAGGGGGTGGAGAGAAAATGTTAGGAGAAATGACTGCTCGGTGGTCACAGGGTTTCTTTTGGGGTGGTGAGTACTTTACACTAAAGGTAGTGCTGATGGCTGCACAGCTCTAAATGCACTACCATCTGCGGAACCGCCCCCAGCACTAAAACCATCTGCATATTGTAAGTGGTGAACTTCACCGCACGGTACATAAATTATGTATCAATAAAACTTAACAAGAAAAAGAAAAGCCTGACCTCTACCACCCTGGATTCATGAATGGCCATGAGCAAAGTCCCCTGAGCACACACTAGACACGTAGCCCCAGGGGGAAACAAGCCCTGCTGTGCCAGGCCACGGAGATGCAAGGGGGCTTCTGTGCTCACAGCGGCACAGAGCCCATCTGGGTCCAACACAAGCACACCCACACTATCGTATGTTCCCATTGAAAATGTGTCTGTGGCCAATTAACTTCAAACTCTGGAAGGAAGCCACAGTTGTGATCTTTCCCAAAAGGAACCAGGCTCTGTCCCAAGGCCACAAGTCTGAATCTTTGAACCCAAGGAATTTAAGAATCTGGCTTGATCAGAATAATTCCTGATCAAATCACAGCAACAGCTCTAATTGATTGGTTACCTATATTATGTGCCCAGCACTGGCCCAGATGGCCACAGCACCAATTTTGCTGCAATTCTGCAGAGGAGGCATTTTACAAGTGAAGAGAGTTGACAAGTCAGAAAACTGAGATGAGGTATCTGAGATGAGACACTGGGCCTCCATCACCTCCCATGAAAATTCAGAAGGGACCAGTCCTCAACGCCTCAATCCAGTGTTGAAAACAATATTTATAATTCATAACACAATGAACCAACCTTCCAAAACTATAAAGAGAAATTGAAGCCAGGAATGGTGGCTCATGTCTATAATCCTAGTTACTCAGGAGGGAGAGACTGGGAGGATTACAGTTAGAGACCAGTCCAGGCAAAAAGTTTACAAGACCCTATCTCAGATCCCATCTCAATCAATAAAAGCTGTGTATGCCTGGCATCCCAGTTACTGGGAAGCATAAAACAGGAGTGGTCCAGACCTGCCCAGACATAAACAAGATCCTATCCCAAAAAATAACTAAAGCATAAAGAGCTGGAGGTGTGACTCAAGTGGCAGAGCATCTGCCTAGCAAATGCAAAGCCCTGAGTTCAAATCCACATACTGCCCCCTCCCCAAAATGGGGGGTGAGGTGTCAGGGGGAGAAATTGAAAAATGAGCAACCAATAACCCGAGAAAAATGCGAGCTGAACTGTACAGAAAAAAATACAAATGGTCCTTAAACATATGACAGCATGATCAGCTCACACTTCAGAAAAACACAAATACTGTATTGAGATACTATTTACACCTGTCAAGTTGGCAGGAATCCAAACATTTGACTACACCTGCAGTTGACATGGCTGAGAAACAGATAGCTACACTGCTGTTGAGAGGGCAGTGTGGAGCACCCCCTGGGTGAGGAGAACTGGTAGACTCTGTCAAAGTGACAAATGTGTCTCCCTTTTGACCCTTCAGTGTCCCTGTGGAATGACCTACATATATACGCAGCAATGCACATGGAAGATGACACAGTGCAGGCACATCAGTAAACAGCATGCTGGAAATGACCAGCAAGTCTTTCTTTAAGGAATGGTATTAAAAAGGAAAACCTCACAATACTAAACGAAAGAGTGGCAATGACTCACTATGTGTTGACATGGGAAAAATCTGTACAATGTTCCAGTAAATAAAGAATAGTGTAAATAAAATTAAAAAGAAGTAAGAATCTACACTTGTGCTTGCTTGCATTTGCATAGAGAACCACCAGAAGGGAATTCAAACTATGTAAGTGGATGCCAGGGAGAAGGACAGGCAGAGCAGACAAGATCAGTAGTGAAGGTCAATATTTCTCAAAGTGTATTTTACGCTGGGCATGGTGACACTTGCCTACAATCCCAGCTATGTGGAATGCAGAGATAGGAGGATCATGGTCTGAGGCCAGCCCTGGGCAAAAGCAGGATACCCTATTTGAAGCCTAAAGCATAAAGGATTGGGGGTCGGGGGAGCCTCAAGCCAAGCAAGGCGCTGAGTTCAAACCCCAGTACCACAAAAAAAAGTGTATCTTAATATTATTTTATTTTAAAAGTGAGTGAATATACTGACTATTCAAATGAGCATTTTATTTTTTAAAAAGTCCCCATCCCCAATTTTAAGAAGCTTCAAAAAGAAATGCCAGATCAACATCAAAGCCTTTAGCCAACAGGTCTCAGATACCAGTCAGTGCCAGGCAGCCCAGGAGCTGAGTGCCAGCCCAGGCCCAGCTGTGTCCTTATGCATCCTCCTGTGAGAGAGGTGGGCACCAAAGGATGGCAGTGAGAGTAAGGCTCAGGGTTTCCTGAGCTGTCCCTTCCTCTCTGACTCTCCTCTAGGCCCTTCCGGCTTCATATCTCAGTAACTTCCCTCACTGTCCATGCCCCTATCCAACCCACTGTCCACTCCAGACTGAACTTTCTCTCTCCATGAACCACCCATAGCATTGTGTGCAAACCCCATCCAGTGCAGCCCAGAGCAGATCTATGCTCCATCATAAGGTCACAGGGCCAAAGTCAGACAGAACAGTCCTGAACGCCCATGACAACAAACTTGGCCCTTTCCTTAGGGGTGCAAGAGTGATGGGTGGCTATCCCAAGGGATATCTGTGACATAATCCCATTTCCTCATTCCAGGCACCCCTCAGTCTTTCCCCTGGAGACCAACAGGCCTGGCCTTCATTAAGTCAGGTAATAGGAAAAATGCAAAAGAGGAAAAAGTAAAGGAGAGGGCTCTGTCCCTCAAAGGGCTGAGATTTGTTTTCCAGTGGTTTCTCTCTGAAATAACCCAAGGCTCAAAAGATACCAGATCAGCGAGCTACTACTCTCACATTTAACAAAAACAGCAGCAAAACCACGTTTCCAGATCACCCACCAGAAGGAGAAAACCTCAGGCCAAGCAATCCCAAATTGTACTTCCATGGTCCTCAAAGGGCAGTGAAAAACACTATTTCCAACAGCTTGACTCAGCAGCCAATGTGCTGCAGACCAAGTTTTTCTGTTAAGGAAGATAACATTTGCTTCCCCTTTCTGAGCTCAAAACTGATTTTTTTTCTTCCAAATTAAAAAAAAAATTCTTTGGTGGGGGGTGGATAAGTGAGAGTGGTGGAAGGGCAAATTCAAGTATGATATATTTGACTCATTGTAAGAACCTTCATAAATGCCACAATGTACCCCCACCTAACACAATAAAGGGGGGAAAATTATG